TACAAAGGAAATTTTTTTGTGCCTGTTGGAAATTAAAGTTTACTGACATAGCCATAAAAAAATGTTGCTTTATTTATCTGACCGTATTGGAATGTATTTTGTTAGGTTTTCAGTCAATTAATTTGGTTCAATAAACAATATGTGGTCATTTTTAAAATTTTCAATGAACATTCGATCAGTCCGGCCCTCGGCTTGCAGCAAAAATTTTTATCTGGCCCTCCGTCCATTTGACTTTGACACCCCTGCTCTAAAACATTTGAGCTCTTTTCTGCAAGTTGAGTAAAGAAGAAAACTCATTAGACCCGTTTTGATTAAATTAGCTCGTAATTAATGCAGCACTATTACGAGATTAATAGAGCTTTCAGCCATTAGCTACAGTGGTTTAAACATAGTCGACGAACCAAACACCAAACCGACAGGAGGAGCAGATCATCCAAATATGAAAGCAGGCTGTATGCTTTGCCCAAGTCAAATGATCACGTGACATACATCCCTTGAGATTAAACCCAGCAGCTTTCTCAAAGCCATGTATGCATTGCTGAAGTGTAGCCACTAGAAAGAGAGTACATTATACATGTTAAATGTTATTTAAGAGCAACAAAAGGAAAAAAAAAATAGTTCAAGCATGACTGTTACTTTACAAGTGATGTGTAAGCAGGATGTGGAACAGTCAGTCAACTGAAAATGGACATGATAAAGAAATAAAAAAACAAAACAGAAATTGAACAGCCTGTGTTCTCAACGATGCAACAATTCTGTGAAAAGCACACAACACAATTTCTGGTTCAAAATTTAGCAAAATCCCAGGTCCGGCCTTCCTGTGTGGAGTTTGCATGTTCTCCCCGTGCCTGTGTGGGTTTTCTCCAGGTACTCTGTTTTCCTCTCACATTCCAAAAACATGCGTGGCAGGTTAATGCAACACTCTAAATTGTCCCTAGGTGTGAGTGTGAGCGTGATTGTTTGTTTGTCTGTGTGTGCCCTGCGATTGGCTGGCAACCAGTTCAGGGTGTCCCCCGCCTACTGCCTGAAGTCAGCTGGGATAGCATGCCCCGTGACCCTTGTGAGGATAAGCGGATCAGAAAATGGATGGATAGATAGATTTAAGTGAAAGCCCTTTGATGTGCTGAAATCACAAAGTACCAGTTAAGCGGCACATATTTTACATGTCGTAAATTTCACCACATTACAACGGATTTGGGACAAAAACGACAACAACTGTACATGTGGGCATTAAATGGTTAACAAGCCATGTGTTAACTGGACCACCAACCCCATGGCAAAGTTACTGCGGACACAAACAGTCAGCAATGAACCGCAAGAGTCACAGATCACAGGATCTTACTGGCTGCATGGATGGTGTTTGTAGCAGGTCAGGCAGTGAATCTACACTGGTTTCTCCGCTCTTGTATCTAAAGCAAATCTAAGCAAACTACAAGATAATCACTCCAAATCCCTTGCTCAAATCCCTTCAACCAAAACATGGATGAAATTGGCATCGGTGTGTCTTGGCCAAATTATTCTTTGGCAAACTTTCAGAGGGCAAAGTTGTGCATGCCCTCATTTACATTTTTAGCAGGAGACACTATGGAGGACTGTGTGCTCTCCGAAGTGGAGAAAACACTGTTCAGAAATTTCGCAATAATTTTCATTGGGAGAAACGTGGCTGGCCCATTGTAATTCTTCTGTAACCAAGAAAATGCTGTGAACCTTCCAACTCCATGTTCAGCAGAGACAGCCGTGTGAAGTTCTGCAAAGACAACCAATAGCTCTTTGCAAGGCCAGGAGCAAAATGGCCAGACAAAGCTTTATTTATAAACACCTTGTCTTCTTTTTGTATTCATGTGCATACGGGTTGAAAAGGATGTGCAAGTCATTGTATTCTGTTTCTTATTTACATATTACACAATTTCCCAACCTCATTGGAATTGAGGTTTGTTGAATATGCATTTGATGCAATCGCAACTCTGCAGCAAGTAGTGTCGAAATAACCAGTACTAACAGCACGTTGAAGCAAGAACTACACAGAGAAATGTACCTTGCCTATCTTCAACATGAAAAAATTGGATCACAACAAGAACAAGGCAGAACTATGGTGTCATTTATTTATTGATGTAGATGTACAGTACTGTGAATGCATTGCACTCTGTGATGGGCTAGCACGTTTGAGGTTTCCTGTGCTGTAAAAAATGTGATTTGTGGTAATAAAATTGTATCTCCAGTCGCTGGGATTTTGCCATTCGAGTAACGGTAGTACTTATTTTTTCCATTTTCCATGCCTGCCTATTTTTAATATGACAAATATGATTGTCGAATGTAAGACATTACAACTGCTACTAGATTCGTAATAACTGGCCAAAAAGAGATTACATTCGATCTAGGGAAAATAATAAAAAGTTACCTTATTGCCTCTGAAGGGCTCATCCGGGGTCTTCTGACTAGACGTGGCGACAGAAGAGTTAAATGGAACATTGTAGTCATCATCAGCACACACAGGCACCGAGAGTCTGTTGTCGGACCGTGTCTTTGTCATTGACTGTGAGAACAGGATGTGGCACACATCACTCAATCTTATAAACAAGAAAAAAAAAATTCAGGTCTCGAAATATACATTTTGTTATTTCCAACATGATTACTTATAGTGAAAACATAAAAGGTGTCCCGGCTGGTCCGCCATTATAGCCCAGCAAAGAGGCAAACAGGTGTTGCCTTGGTAACGACTAAGACACTTGTTTTCAGCCAGTGTGACATCCAAATTGTGAAATTTTGACTGTGGGATAATGAGGTTAAATTACAACATGGTGGTTGCTTCAATATGTGGTAAATCATTTGCTGAAAAAAAAAACAAACAAAAAAAAAAAAAAACGGGCACCCGGTCCACCTGGGTCTCAAAAAGCATTAGATAAAATAAGCAGTAGAAATAAAAGATCTTGAACAGAACTGAACAGTTCGTATGTCTGAATTGGTAGATTACACTCCGTAGGTACACTTGAGCGGTTTTACAGAGTGGCGATGGGTGGCAGCTGCCACCTGCATCAAATGTCTTGCCACCCTGGTAGCCACACCTAATGCTGGCAATGAATCTATCAATTCTACATAAAAAAAATTAAATAAAAATAATCATGATAGAGAGAGTATGAAACCAGAAAATAAGACACAGAGTGGATTTAGGCATTGGAAATAAATTACCAAGACTCTCAAAACTCTTGAGAAACTAAAAAACACATGACAGTACTGTGATTGGTGGGCATCACTTGTGCAAAGGCACTATTCTCCAAGATATTTTTGTTTTGCTGGACATCATAACAACCAAAAGCCAATAATAACTGACTTCAAGATCATTGTGAATATATCTATTCAATGTTGAAACTGATTTGCTGGAGTTCGGCGGGAGGCCAAACAGCACAAAAAGGAACTGCGGGTCGATGATATAAAGTTGTTTGGGAGGTCACAGATCTGCGCTGTGAGGCGAATAGTTCATGTGTAGGCGTAGATAGATAGGTCGATAGACTGTTTCCCTTTACAACTGCTATTGATCACACTGACCTGAGGTGTGTCAAGGCTGTGGACGCGGGCTGATGGGTTATGACGTGTGTTGGGAAAGTTGTGGATGTTGAGCAGGCGGTCGTGGTGATGGTTATTGGTGTTGTCACTGCAGGAGCGGGTCATGGATTTTTGAACTTGACGAACTGTGACCTGACTGGAGCTCCTTTCAGAACAGCGTTTGCATCTTTGCCGGCTGTGGGAACAGGACTTTCGCAAACCTGTGACGTAGATTATACCAAAAGGTGACATTTGTCTCTTCAAATTAGGACTTATTTTGCATTCTTGCTAGACATAAATGAAAACAAATTAAGAACAAAATAAAAAAACAAAACCCTCTTCAATATTTGAGGGAGATGAAACCAAAAATTGTGACAGAAATACAGGTCAACCTGACCAACTAATATTCATTCATCAGCACACTTAACCTTATCTTTTTACATATCTTCAATTCCACAACATCAGCACTTTTGGTTTGGCAACACAAAACCTTTTAGTTTTCCAAAGAGGAAACATTATTTCATTTCACAAACAGGGAGCATGAACTTGTTTTAGCAGCAGCATGGTTGCCTCGTGGTGAGCATCCCTGATGGAACAAAAATATATTTCTCAATATATTAACTGATGAAATATTTTATGTGCAATCATATATTGTTCATATATGTGTATATATATCTAGCGATAGATAGATAGATAGATAGATAGATAGATAGATAGATAGATAGATAGATAGATGAAGTCGAACTCAAAACTCTAAAAGTAGCATCCTTTAAATTCTGTTTAGCCTTTTAACATTATTCCAAAAACAGACATGGTGTCCCCTAGAGGCATTTGAGTTTATTGCAGGCACCAAACTCAAGCCGCTGTTGATTGGTTATATAAATCAGTGTTTTTCAAATCCCGTGCCGCAGCACGGGATTTGAAAAACACAAACACAAACACAAACAGACATGGTGCCTCTAGGGGACACCATGTCTGTTTTTGGAATAATGTTAAAAGGCTAAACAGAATTTAAAGGATGCTACTTTTAGAGTTTTGAGTTCGACTTCATCTATCTATCTATCTATCTATCTATCTATCTATCTATCTATCTATCTATCTATCTATCTATCTATCTATCTATACAGATATATGAACAATATTTGATTGCACATAAAATATTTCATCAATTAATATATTGAGAAATATATTTTTGTTCCATAAGGGATGCTCACCACGAGGCAACCATGCTGCTGCTAAAACAAGTTCATGCTCCCTGTTTGTGAAATGAAATAATGTTTTCCTCTTTGGAAACGCTGGTGTGCCGCGAGGTATACCGTCGGAAATGATCCAATATACTATGCCTGTGCGGTCTATCGCCTGACATTGGAGATGCAACAGCACCGATGTTCCCTCTAAGCTGCGCAACTGTGCACTGGTCGAACACTCTCAGCGCACAAGAAAACCTATCCAGCGCAGTGAATGCACTGCAAATGAATTAAATATATATATTTTTTTCTGTATCAATTTGCTGTGTAATTCAGTGAGTGACAGGTGTCCAGCCAATCACACGATACGATGCAATGACGCTATGCAGCCAATCACGGCATTGACAGTACTTGCGCATGTTCTCTGCTCCATAGCAATAACAGTACGGCGGCGATAAGTGACGCAAATGCTAATCCCCTATCATTGCAAAACGACCGGGCAGTGAATGTGATTAAGCCGACTCCCTAAACTAAAATAAGAATGAACTGAGGTTCTTTTAAGTTGGAATGGCTGTCGGAGTATGTGCAAATAGAAGAACAAGCAGTGAAACTGGGTGAGATATTTTCTTTTTCGAGTGAGAAAGGTCTACTCTGCAAAACATGCAGCAAAGCTAAAGTTGTAAGCATAAAATATGGATAAAATGGAAGCTGGACTACCTCGAGCGACACATTCAGCAGAAAAGTCATTTGAATTATGTTAGAATTATACAAAGACTCAAGGGAAAAGGGATTGGTACAATATTGCGGGAGAGCGCAAACGACCGGGAGAAAAAGAACCGGCTGTCACACAGAAATAAATCCGACCCTGAGCAAGTTAAAGTTCTAATTGACTATATTTTACTTGCCATTAAAATGAATGCACCAAATATTGGATTGACGGTGATTTGATTCCGATTCCATGTGTTATAATATAGCGTTATTTTTCAATGAAAAAAAAAACACTTATATTAACAATATAACACTTAATTGTTAAAATACGCTTTTTTCACATTTAGTGGTGTGCCGCGGGATTTTTTCAATGAAAGAAATGTGCCTTGGCTCGAAAAACACTGATATAAACAATTGACCCATTAGTGTGACAGATATAATTGAATAAATACGCACCGTATATATGGTTAAATGTATTGATATTACATAGTGTAAATTATTAAATAATGGAGAAAGTGGTTGTCGACTGGTTAGCACGCCGGCCTCACAGTGCAGAGGTCCAGGGTTTGATTCTGGCTCAGGTCTTCTGGTGGGGAGTTTGTTTTTAATGGAACACTCTGAATTGTCCCTCTAAATTGTGATTCTGAGCGCGGATGGTTGTTCATCGATGTCTGCCCTGCGATTGGCTGACAACCAATTCAGGGTGTATCCCGCCTGCTGCCCGAAGACAGCTGGGATAGGCCCCAGCATAACCGTGACCTTTGTGAAGATAAGTGGATTAAAACATTGAAATGGATGGACGGAGGAAGCATTGTTCATGTAAAACTTTGTAAAATGAAACACCCACAGTCAGATTGCTTATGATCCTGATTGAGTTGTTGATGCCCTAGTAGAGGTTTTGGTGGTGGTCAGGAATAGCCCATTTGTTCAAGTAACCGTTGAGCAGAGATGCCACAAACAGACATGAAAGTCCTCCGGATTTTCCCGGAATTCCGGGTTGACAAAGTGATGTAAAAATGTTGTACCACTAATTCATATCTTTATCGTTGACATCGTAACATTAACAGACCAAAACAAAAACGTATTGTATTCTTTTCATTAATCGATTGACTAATTGGTTATTGGGGTTTTATTCTGTCAAACATCCGAATTGGGATTGGGACAAAAAAAAAAATCTGTCTCGGTTGGGCCATAGCATTGAACTTAAAAGTTAAATACAACTGAACTTTACTTGAGCTGTGATTCATTTGCATAGCACTAAAGGGCGCCCACGAACCACGGACTGTACTCATACCAGACTTTGACAATGACTGCTTTTGAGCAGGGCGGCACTATGAATGTCTGGTTAGCATGTCCGCCTCACAGTATCGAGGTCCAGGGTTTGATTCTGGCTTTCCTGTGTGGGGTTTGCATGTTCACTCCGTCCCTTCGTGTGTTTTCTTTGGGTACTTTGGTTTCTTCCCACATTCCAAAAACATGCACCATAGGTTAATGGAA